AGCTGGATTTGGCTGGTCATTTTCCAGCCTGACCAGCTAGGACTAGGCTGGAAATGGCCAAAACCCCTCTAAAACCAGGCTGGTCGACCAGCTAAAACCAGCCAACCAGCCTAGGCTGGTTTAAGCTGGATTTTTCAGCAGGGATAGTCAGACATTTAAAGCAAGCACGAGCATGATTCAGAGATACAAAAGTAAAAAAAATGTTATGCCATTTGTTATATACGGAAAAAATATAAACTTTAACTATAAAGTTAATAGCTTTGTCAAAAAAATGTATTGCATGAACAAGTATGAAGTATATTAATATATGGATTTTTTATATTGATTATGATGATGATTGTTAACAGATTGCCAGCATAAACTAAAACGTCTTTAACACATATATGCTAACATGATAGTTAGCATGCTGCTAGTACATTTTAACACTGCCTGACATGTTTTAACATGTTGCTAGCTAACATGTTATTAATTATAATGTTGCACTTCTTGCTTCAACCTTAAATAACTCTTTTGCACTATATTGAACCTTAAATACCACCTTTGCACAATATCCTGGAACCACTTGAGGGTCAGTAAATAATGAATACATTTTAGTTTTTGACTGAACTATCATTTTAACATGTTTTTAAAATGAGTTAAAGGTGCAGTAAGTAAGTTTGACGCCCAGTGGTTGAACTAGGTATTACATTCCTCGATCAAAACAAACGTAAGCACAGAATGCCAAATGGAGGATAAACAAAAGTGAGCCTGATGATTAAGCCTAAAGGCTGATTTAAATCATGCTCTAAATAAAAGCAACGGCACACGATACAAGACATATTATCCATATTAAAAAAGGAGTTTTTGTCCAAATCAACACCTCGAATTAAAATATTAGAAACAGCTTCTATTTCTGGCTGGTAAACAACAAGATACACTGACAATAAACTGAAATATCGATACACTGAAATGTTAAATGCTAATAATGTGAGTTTGAATGCCATTTTACATGACATTTATTGGTAAGCAGCAGCCGATATTTCACCTCAGATCATGACTATAAAATAAACCGTTTGAAACTGAACTTTAAAACTGTGACTCAAAACCAACACATACTCTATTAGTGATTCAGTGTAAGGCTTGAAGCTTACGCTGCTATTCTGAACCAATAATCGGAAACAGGAAGCAGTTGAAGGATGGCGTGTTTAAATCCATTATTTATCTGACTTCATTGTAATTAATCTGACTCCATTAAAGTTGTTATCATCATTGATAAAGAGAAAGAATCTCTACGTCTTAAAGCAGGCAAAGTTGTTTATTAAGTTACATGATCAAATATACAGACATTAGAATGACACAAACTAACATACTGTATAAAGAAATTAGCTGTAACATATGCACTGCTGAGCAACAAAGACAGTGAAACTGCCTTTGTTAGCATATGAGGCTACGCACTGGTGTGCGGGAGATGCAGAGTATAAGCCATTCTCCCCGATCAACAGTTACCTTTCCCTATTATACCCTGAGCAAAGCATTGTCAAACATGAGTGAAAACCAACCCCCAAAACCAGCTGAACGTGAGAGCAAAGTTGAAGAGATGAAGTGGGGGAGAAGTACATTAACATACTCTCCTCAGGCCATGACCCAACAATAGTAAATATATTGTAGATTGAAACACAATTAATCAATGTCTCTGTTGATTTCATTACTACAACACTAAAGTCATAAACTGTCAAATGACACCAAACATGACAAAGTTATCTGAAAGAAGAACACAAGCAGATGAACTGTGTATGGTGAAGAGCACATGGTTACTGTAAGCAAATGGCAGAGATGTGTATCGGAGCTGTGAGGAACTCTGCCTCACCAGGAGGACCCATCCCATGCTTGGAATGTCTCAGTAGTCCTTCATTAGCATAAAAGGAAAAGTATATATTTTCTCAGCTTACATTCAGCATGTACATTTAATAATGGTAGAGAGGTTTAATATGCATTAATTAGATTATAAACCCTTTCATAAGTGAGTGCACTATTCTGTGCTTCTGAATGGCTGTATTTAAATTTCTGTCGTGTTTCGTCTTGTGCAAACAGCTAAATGCTTAACACTGCAAATCTCATCACATAGCGTGTTGTTAGGACACAGGGTTACAATGTAACCTGCTCACCGAATGTTTACACTCTTAATAATTATATTATGTGCTAATTAATAACCTCATGTGGAACTCTGAATCTGCGTATCATTTTGGAGTCTGCTACGGTCCACCAGAGTTTGCATTTCGGTCACGGACGCATGGTTTGAGAGCCTTCCTAACTGAATGAATGAATGAAATACATGGTTTTCCATCAAGGCAACCCGGGGTGCTGAAATATAATTGGCTAAACTGGCAGTGGCCGGGTTAAAAGTACCAAAACAAAGTCAGCTGTTCTTGCACGTAATGCACATTTTCAAAGCAGAATATCTGACTTAAGCACTGTTTTCAGACAAACAAGAAGGTTCAGTTAGCATGTTTCTGAAATATCTGCAAACATATTATGGTATTTTTATGCTTTAGAAGAGCCAAACACTTACATACAGCACCTTTAAAATAGAAAACAGTTTAAAATGAAATATTTCACAATCTTACAGTTTTTTTACAGTGTTTTTTAACAGAACTGTGACCAGACTAAAATACCCACCTACATACTAACCGAGCAGAATTCCCTAACAACCAGCTAACAAAAGGCCAGAATACTCTAACAACCACTTAGCAACTGGCCATGATACCCTAGCAACCACTTAGAAACCACTAGCGTCACTATTATGGGTTTTGCTTGGGAAAGCTAATCTAACCCTAACCACAAATTTTACTAAATAATGTGAATAAAATGTATATTATAATATTATAATATTCACATATATCCAGCCATGAGCAATTTTTACTGTATAAAATACATTATGTATATGGAGTGTCCCTGTACCAACATGTTCGCTGTGTGTGTGTGTGTGTGTGTGTGTGTGTGTGTGAATGTGTATAAGTGTGTGTGTGTTGGGTATCATCTGATGCTCAGTTGAGTCACTGATGAGGTAATTCTGTATGCGCCATAACAGTGTGTGTGTGTGTGTTTGTGTGCACATGCATGCATGTGTCAAAGTGTGTGTGTGTGTGTGTGTGTGTGTGTGTGTGTGTGTGTGTGAATGTGTGTAAGTGTGTGTGTGTGTGTGTGTGTTTGTGTGTTGGGTATCACCTGTTGCTTAGTTGAGTCACTGATGAGGTAATTCTGTATGCGCCATAACAGTGTGTGTGTGTGCACATGCATGCATGTGTCTAAGTGTGTGTGTGTGTGTGAATGTGTGTGTGTGTATCATCTGATGCTCAGTTGAGTCACTGATGAGGTAATTCTGTATGTGCCATAACAGAGACACATGCATGCATGTGTCAAAGTGTTTGTGTGTGTGTGTGTGTGTGTGTGTGTGTGTGTGCAGCACAAATGCAAACACTCATGTTGTTCATAAATAATTTAGGGAATCGTCATAGCAACAGGACATTCACACAGCACTAATCTGCCAGCTCAGAAAGGGCATTCTCCGAGTCAGCATGCCTTATTATACATGTGATCTCTCCACCGCTCGTAAACCGACTCACAAGACGTGAACGCTCACTCAGCACTTTACATGAAACACCAGTTGATATATATGAAAATACATAAACCATATGATCTGTTACTGGTGCCACAGTAAATCACCGTTTACACACAGCATAGTCTGCAATGCAAATAGTACTTTCTTATTTAATAGTTTTGTTTTCCTTTACAGTTTCTTAAAAGAAGATGCGTGTTATTGAGAAAGAAAAGCATCCGCTGCGTAAAACATGATTAATAAAGGGACTAAACCGAAAAGAAAATGAATGAATGAATGAATGAATTAATAATGCATTCAAAATCTGTGTTTTGTTTTGGCAGGGTTTTTGCTTAAAAATGATGACATAACTTTATATTTTTGTACTAGAACCATATTGTATCTACTTAATTGTACATATTTGTGTACATATTTGTGATCGAGCATGAAAATAACGGTTCATATTAAAACTGAATCGAGCACCACAGGCTCTTTTTCTGGATTGCTTTTGAAAACACTGCCCGTTGGGTTTAAGGCAGTGGGTGGGTGGGTCAGTTGGTGCTTTTGAAAACACCAATTGAAAGGGTCAGTCTATTGGTGAGTCAGTCAGTCAGACGACCGCTCCCTCTGGTGGATTTACACAAGAAGAGCAGACGTGAACGGCACTCGAGACAGAAATTTGAGATCTCAAAAAGCATACACAGCAGCCTCTGGTGGATTCGTGAAAGCAAAAACTGCAAAAAAGTAACTCCTGGGACGTATTTGGCGCTTTCCAGAAATGTATATAGCAGTACATTTTCAGAATGAGCCTTGTTTGACGCCACTGACATCAAATTGTTTTTTCGTATTTAGGTTTATTTCTTGTTTCTAATGTTTAACAATTCTTTTTCTAGACATTTTCTAGACAAGTAAAAACAATATTGTTTTGTTTTCAGGAATAATAAGTTAAAATTAAGTGATTTTTTCCTTAAAAAGGTACATCCACCAATGGGATAAGTAAAAAACTTATTTCAAAGCAAAAACAAGATTATTTTAAACAACCCACTGGCAGACTATTGCTTTTTTTAGGAAAAAAAAACTCACTTAATTTTTACTTATCATTCTTAAAACCCCCAAATAAAGTCCAAGTACGAAACACTTTTTTAAGTGCAACAAATGAGCATTGCTCTTTTTAACTTTCTAAAGAATCCAGAAAAAACATATCAAGTTTTTCCACAAAAATATGAAGCATGCAGGAACCAAGAGCTTGTTTTACTCTCTAAAGAATTTATGCAATGGAAACCAAAAAAAAACCAGCTACAAAAGCTGTTTAATATCATTTTTCTCTCTGTCAGTGGAACAGAGCTAATGAGTCTGTGGAATTTATGTGATTTAAATGATTGTTACTAATTACATTTTTGATTTACCTCTCGCACTGTGATTGTAGAACTCCATGAATCTTCCACCTGATAAAGTGATGCTGCTCAGTCAGTACGACAGTGAGAAGAAATGGGAGTTGGTCTGTGATCAGGTGAGCAAAAACACACAATAATTACATTTTCGCACACATTCATTTACCACAAAGCAGCTTTCATGCACACAGACACAGACCCAACTCCATAGACATTTTTTACATGTTTTTTGACGCCAATGTAAGGCGAGGCAGTGGCGCAGTAGGTAGTGCTGTCGCCTCACAGCAAGAAGGTCACTGGATTGCTGGTTCTAACCTCGGCTCAGTTGGCGTTTCTGTGTGGAGTTTGCATGTTCTCCCTGCCTTCGTGTGGTGTGCTCCGGTTTCCCCCACAGTCCAGAGACATGCGGTACAGGTGAATTGGGAAGGCTAAATTGTCCGTAGTGTATGAGTGTATGTGTGTGTGTAAATGTGTGTGTGGATGTTTCCCAGAGATGGGTTGCGGTTGGAAGGGCATCCACTGCATAAAATCTTGCTGGATAAGTTGGCGGTTCATTCCGCTGTGGCGATCCCGGAATAATAAAGGGACTAAGCCGACAAGAAAATGAATGAATGATATCAAAGTAATCAACTGACATCAAAATGATTTACTTTTTTGACGTGCTTTCTGACACCGAAGTCAGATGTCAATTTGATGTTATTTTGAAATCAACAGGCAATAAATCGATTTGCATTTTTGACGCCAATATGAGATATCAAACCAATCTCATTTGGATGACAATTCAACATTGTTTTGACATAAAGGTATTCAATTGACATCAAATCGATTTGTGTTCTTGACGTGTGTTTTTTTGTTGTCGTTTTTGATATCAGGGCGCTCTCTGAGTAGAGTTGTGTTTACTTTTCTTTTTCACTTCTCCATCTCTTCAGGAGCGCTTTCAAGTAAAGAATCCTCCATCAGCCTACATTCAGAAACTGAAGAGCGTGTTGGAGCAGGGAGGAGGCAGAAAGGTACAGATGTGTCCTTAAATCTGAGATATACAGTACAGTACAACTCATTTGATTACAATCTGCACCATGCATTTATTTGTATGTGGTCTTATTTTAAATGATAATATTGCATGCTGGCGCAGTGAGTTGCACGATCGCCTCACAACAAGAAGGTCGCTGGCTCAAGCCTCGGCTGGGTCAGTTGGCATTTCTGTGTGGAGTTTGCATGTACTCCCTATGTTTGCATGGGTTTCCTCCAGGTGCTCTGGTTTCCCCCACAAGTCCAAAGACATGTGGTAGAGGTAAATTAGGTAAGCTAAACTGTCCGTAGTGTATGTGTGTGAATGAGTGTATATGGATATTTTCCAGTGATGGGTTGCAGCTGGAAGGGCATCCGCTGCGTAAAACATATGCTGGATAAGTTAGCGATTTCACTGTGGCGACCCCTGATTAATAAAGGGACTAAGCCGAAAAGAAAATTAATGAATGTATGAATGAAGTGAAGTTTATTTATAAACTTATTTCGAGAGGATCACGTGCTTATGATTGCTTGCAGCTGGAACTGCATTATTCAATTTATGATTCACCAATCAGACGATTCCTAAGCCACTATAAATACCCTAAGTTCCATATGACAGCCATCTTCATTTTGAAGAATCCCCCCTTCCACCCCTACTCCTCCTCCTATTCTAGATGAGTGGCACGGTGGCCCAGTGGTTAGCACTGTTGCCTCACAGCAAGAACGTCACTGGTTCTAGTCCTTAAGAAGCCAGCCGACATTTCTGTGCTTGGTTTACATGTTTTCCCATTGCTTACATGGGTTTCCCCCGGCTTCCTCGTTGTCCTCCCACCATCCGAAAACATGCAACTTAAGTTAATTGACTAATCCAAATCTGCACCATAGTCATGCTCCTAGTAAATACTTATCTCTTAAGAGCAATCACTCTCTGTTCATTAGCCACTACAGCAGGGGAGTTCTCGAGATCTACCTGAGCTCAAACTCCCCTCTCGCCTTGAAAACGGGAGGAACCCCCGGGCTTGAGCATCTTATGACCTCAGGACAGCATGCCAAACAAGCTTTATAATCAATCATCAGCTAAGTGTGAAGTCATGAGTGAATATTACATGCTGTGATTTGTAGTTTAAGAGGCGAGTCCAAGAATCCACCCAAGTTCTTAGAGAGTTGGAGATCTCTCTGCGCACCAATCACATCGGGTAAGAGCTGTCACATGACTGCATATAAATTAAAAGTCTTGAAATTAAATTAAAGTCATTACATTTTAAAGTCTTGTCATTTTAAACTCCTGATATATTTTCTGAAATGGACAGAAAGCTGAGTGCTCTTGTTTTTTTCTGCTTTTTAGGTGGGCCGAGGAGTTTCTAAACGAAGAAAACAACGGCTTGGATGTACTAGTGGACTACCTCTCTTTTGCTCAACGCGCAGTCATGTATGCACACAAACACACATACACTTGTTTTTTATTTTTAAATTGTGGGCATATTATATAGGTTTACATTGCTTTTATACTGTACAAACAGTATTTTGTATTGCCCTATACTTAACCCCTTCACCAGTGGTGGCCAATCCTGTTCCTGGAGAGCCAACTTCCTGCAGATTTCAGTTGCAACCCATATCAAACACACCTGCCTGTAATTATCACGTGGTGTTCAGGTCCTAATTAACTGGTTCAGGTGTGTTTGATATGAGTAGCAACTGAAATCTGCAGGAAGTAACAGATAGTAATTGCTCTTAAGAGATAACTACTTACAAAGTGCATATCCATGGTGCCGATTTGGATCAGTCAAAAGTTGAACACTTAAGTGGAACGTTCTTGGACGGTAGGAGGAAACCGTCATACATTAGTGTTTCTGAAACATACTATAGTAAAGTGTATTATACTGATGTATTATAAGATTTACAAGTCACCGTTTAGGAATGTGGGGGGGCATGGTGGCTCAGTTGTTAGCACTGTCGCCTCACAGCTAGAAGGTCACTGGTTCAAGTCCCAGCTGGGCCAGTTGGCAATTCTGTGTGGAGTTTATTTGTTCTCCCCGTGTTGGTGTGGGGTTCCTCCAGGTGCTCCGGTTTACCCCACAGTCCAAACACAAGTGCTATAGGTGAATGGGATGAACTATCCCAGTACTGGGTTGCGGCTGGAAGAGAAATATGTGTAAAACATATGCTGGAATAGTAGGCGGTTCATTCCGCTGTGGCAACTCCTGATAAAGTCGAAGGAAATGTATGAATGTTATTGAATGCTACATTATACTAATGTTAACTATAGAGAACTGATCAACTGTAAACAATAGTGTATTCAATTCAATTCAATTTAATTCAGCTTTATTTGTATAGCCCTTTTACAATGTAGATTGTGTCAAAGCAGCTTCACATAAATGGTCACAGTAACTGGAACAGTGTGGTTCAGGTTTTAGTGTTTAAGTTCAGTTCAGTTCAGCTTAGCTCAGTTCAGTGTGATTTAATCATTACTGAGAGTTCAAACACTGAAGAGCAAATTCAGTGTAGTATACTGTTTTTACTACAGTCAACTGTGGTGTGTTGTAGTATAATATGTGTAGTTGTACAAAACACTACAGTATTGGGTAATTTGTTTATATTATAATAGTCGTTGTTTTACCATGGTAACAGCAGTTGAAGTACTTCACCATAGCATGGTTCAAAAACACAATACTGTAGTATTACTCTAGCATTTCTAGAATTTATTGCATCCGTGCAGAAGTATTGATACACATTTCCGCGTTTTTACAGATATGATATGGACAGCAGCTCTGAAAACGGAAGCTTTGAGGAGAAATCAGTGGAAGATCTGACCACGAGTGCGACAAACTCACCTACCCACAATTCCCCTCGCTCAGCACGGCCCTTCACCACACGGTCAGTCACGTATGGGCAATTACAAGTCTTCTTTCTAATTTAAGCAACTTCTAAGTCAAAATTATTCACCCTCCTGTGATATTATATTTTATTTTTTTCAAATATTTCCCAAATGATGTTTAATGTTGTTTAATGATGTATTTTCCACAGTATTTCCCATAATATTTTTTCTTCTGGAGAAAGTCTTATTTGTATTATTTCGGCTAGAATAAAAGCAGTTTTGAATTTTTTAAAAACCATTTTAAGGTCAAAATTATTAACCCCTTTAATCAATATTATTTTTTGATAGTCTTCAGAACAAACCATCATTATACAATGATTTCCCTAATTACCTTGTCTAATTAACCTAATTAACCTAGTTAAGCCTTTAAATGTCACTTTAAGCTGAATACTAGTATATTTAAATATTGTAATATATAGAAAAATAGTAATATAGTATAGTTAAATCTAGTAAAATATTATGTACTTTCATCATGGCAAAGATAAAAGAAATCAGTTATTAGAAATTACTAATTAAAACTATTATGTTTAGAAATGTGTAAAAAATATTTTATTAAACAGAAACTGAGGAAAATTATGACAGAAATACTTTAACAGGAGAGAAATGTGGAATCTGAGGGTTCAAAAAAATCTAAATATGGCAAAATTACCTTAAGGGCTCTATTTTGACGGTCCATGCGCAAAGCGCAAAATGCAGGGCGCAAACGATTTTAGGGCGTGTCAGAATCCATTTTTGCTCATTTAAGAACGGGAAAATCTGCTTTGCGCCATGGCGCATGGTCTAAAAGGGTTGAGTTTATTTTCTTAATGAGTTATAGGTGTGTTTTGAGAATAAAACAATCAGTCTCATCTCCCATTACCTTGAAGAGCCAGCTGCGTCAAGCCATAAGCGCTTTTGCTATTTACAGGACGTAAAGTAAGTGTAAGTGGAAAAACTGACCATTTCACTTGCAAACAGTTAACAGTTTCTTTTAACAGAAAACAGTTAAACAGAAAATCTACCGAGAATGAGAGATAAATTACCTACTTTCACTTTCGCTCTTGAATATGGAAACCTTTACGCACAGACATCAATTAGCCTATAGATAATTAATTTCCTTTGTTAAGTGCAAATATTTGTTTCAAAACTATTTCTAAATTCAGTTCTAATTTCCAGCAAATGAATAAATGAACAATAATAACGAAGTGTGCTCAAAAACCTGAGTTATATCCTAAAACACATGCTGCGCCCCAAATGTTCTAAAACCTGCAGGTGGGCAAATCTAGGCTTGTTTTTAATAAAACAAACATAAATATGGATATAATAAATAATACTGCTAATAATAATAAAATTATACAAAAGCAAATTGTTATGAATGAACTGAAAAAGCCTCCCGAGATGAAGAAGGCATAAAAGCAGTGATTTTTCATATTTATGTAGGCTAGAAAATTATATTTTTGTAATATTTTAATCCTTTATATTTATATCCTATATATATTCTTATTATATCCTATATATATCCTTAATATTACATTTTTTTCTTATGTAAAGATATTTGCGTATTGCTCTACATCTTGTGTGTAGGCTATTAAGCAGTGTGTAAGCGAGGCGCAACTCTGCGCCGGAGATTAGACCGGGTTTGTTTTGGTCTAATGAAAAATCTATTATAGTTTCTCAAAATAGCAAAGCGCCAGCATTGCGCCTCAGAACGCCTTTTAGACCAGCTCTTTTTAGACCAGAACGCCTATGGGCGCACATATGAGCGCTAATGCATTTGCTATTTAAACAGCGTAGCGCAACGCCTCAAAACGACTCTTGCGCCAAGCTGAAACTATTGCAAAAGACTATTGCAACGTGCCTTGCGCCACATTGCGCCTGGTGTATGATAGGGCCCTAAATCTGTCCAAATTAAGTTAATAAAAATGCATAATACCAATCTACAAAATGTCTTCTTGGAAAATGATCCTAATGAAGAATATAAAGTGGTGTAGGAAAACAACGAATCTTTCTTTTAGTTACTAATAAATATGAATACGGGTGGTGCAGTGGCGCAGTGGGTAGCGCTGTTGCCTCAGCTGAAAGGTCACTGGTTCTAGTCTCGGCTGGCTCAGTTGGCATTTCTATGTGGAGTTTGTATGTTCTCCCCATGTTAGCGTGGGTTTCCTCCGGGTGCTTCGGTTTCCCCCACAGTCCAAACACATGCGCTATAGGGGAATTGGGTAAACTAAATAGGCCATAGTGTATGTGTGTGAATGAAAGTGTACAGGTGTTTCCCAGTGATGGGCTGCAGCTTGAAGGGCATCCGCTGTGTAAAACATACTGGAAAAGTCGGCAGTTAATTCCACTGTGGCGACTCCTGATTAATAAAGGGACTGAGCTGAACAAAAATGAATGAATTGATAAATATGAATACAAATGTTCTCTTTTAAGTTCAAATGTTTTCTTATCTAAGATTCAGCATGATCTGATTTCTGCTTGATTATTTTCAGCTTCGCTCACAATACAATCTACATTCAGAAACACACATGCACACACCAGTGACGAGTGTAAAAATGTTTATCATTGCAAACGTCATAAATGAGACACAAACACACACCTGTCCAGTGGCCTCTATCAGGATCATCTGCATTCCTCTCACAGACAGAAACAAAAATGTGCATCTGTGTGTCAGAGCGTTTTACTTGAATGATTTTGAGATACTGTATCAGGACAGTGAACATCACACAAGAGCACAGTTCTGCTTTTAATTCATGTTTCTGAATAAATATGTGAATTAAGTGTGATCTGATTTCACATGACTTGTCACTCATTGCATAAAATAATAAAACCTAATAATATCTATAAAAATATCATACAATAAAAAAGTCTGTTTATCAAGTTTTATTTTAATCTTTTATACCATAAGTTTTAAATTAATATTTTCACATGATTATTATATTAATTAGATTAATGTAATATTTTATTATATTATTATTTATTTTAACATTTTTATTGTTTGATTACATTACATTTTACTATTTTATATTTAAATTATTATAAATTGCTGTTGTGGGCGAGGCAGTGGCGCAGTAGGTAGTGCTGTCGCCTCACAGCAAGAAGGTCGCTGGTTTCTGTGTGGAGTTTGCATGTTCTCCCTGCCTTCGCGTTGGTTTCCTCCATGTGCTCCAGTTTCCCCCACAGTCCAAAGACATGCGGTACAGGTGAATTGGGTAAGCTAAATTGTCCATAGTGTATGAGTGTGTGTTTGGATGTTACCCAGAGATGGGTTGCGGCTGGAAGGGCATGAGCTGCATAAAAAAATCGCTGGATAAGTTGGTGGTTCATTCCGCTGTGGCGACCCCGGATTAATAAAGAGACTAAGCTGACAAGAAAATGAATGAATGATGAATAAATTACTGTTGCAACGCGAAGCCTTCTGGATATTCACTTTAGACACATTGTCTCCAAAAGGTTTAAATGAGGAGTTTGACAGTGGAGTTCGTCCTTTTCTTTAATAATTTTGGAATGAGTCTTTAATAGTTAATTAGTTTCCCAGAGATGGGTTGCGGCTGGAGGGGCGTCCGCTTCGTGGAAGTGTGTGGGATGAGTTGGCAGTTCATTCCACTGTGGTGGCCCCGGATTGGTAGGGGGACTAAGCCAAAAAGATAATGAATGAAGATGATTGAATAAATGTTTAATTAGGGGTCTGGTTAAAAGGTTTTTTGGCTATATTCTGTTGTATTGTCTGATGTATCCTGGTATATATTTTTTCTTTATTATAACTTGTGATGTAATATTATGGTTTATTTATTTTTTTTGGATTTTGACTTGAAATATAAAAGCTGTATATATGAATGTGTATACATGTATTCATATGTATTTGTGTATATGAATGATTGTGTATGTTTACGTATGCGTGTATGTTTATGTGGAGATATATGTGAGAGGATATCATGTGATCCGGAAGTGTACAAAAAGAAGCACCTGATTGTGATGAACATTGTCTAATGAAGAGCCGTGTGGCTCGAAACGTTACACGCTTTGTGTCAGCCTTTTTAATTTAATAAATTTGTATTTTTGAAGCCTTGGTGTTGCCGCGTTTGATTTATATTTATTTGCACTTTTCGCGTTTTTTGGCTGAGCACCCAGTTAAGAGGGATGTGCGTGCTTTTATACAGTTTTTTCATATTTAAATTATTTAATGTTTCATTGTTTTATTAAAACCTAGATTAGATTAATTGTATGGATGTATGTGTATCGTATGTGTAACATATGTCGGAATAGTTGGCAGTTCATTCCACTGTGGTGACCCCTGATAAATAAGGGACTAAGTTGAAGGAATGTGGATGAACATTAAATAAACTACTTTTTTTTGTAAACGTTATGATATTTCTGACTTTATCATTTGATGATTATTGTGTCCAGGAAAGCTCTGCGGTATTCGCGCATGCTCAGTCAGAATAATCACCTGCACCTCTGCATCATGTGTCTGCGTGCCATCATGAATTACCAGGTACTTTTACCTCATTTTCACCTGGTCTCATCTCTTCTCTTAACTAATGAGTCTCTCTCTCCATGTGTGTGTTAGTTAGGGTTTAACCAGGTTACGGCTCATCCCAGCTGTGTCAATGAAATCACCCTCAGTCTCAACAACAGGAGTGCAAGGTGAGAAGATGCACAGTGTGTCTGTGTGTATGGGTGGGTTTGCGCATGTGTGTGTGTCTGCATATGTATGTGTGTGTGTCTATGTGTTTGTGTGTGTTTTACATTTGAATCTTTAGTTTTTACGTTATTGACACATCAGCTGTGTTTGTGTGTGTGTGTGTGTGTGTGTGTGTGTGTGTGTTTAGGACTAAAGCTCTGGTTCTGGAGCTGCTTGCTGCTGTGTGTTTGGTTCGAGGAGGACATGAAATGATTCTTGCGGCCTTTAATAATTTCCGAGAGGTAAGAAAAAACCTTACCAGCTTTCTCTGTTTCATCAGTTTTAGTCTTCGAATCGTCACCTCCATCATGGCTCTTTTCCTTTACTGTACAGAGTCAATTTAACACTGTTACAAAAATCAATATATGAATTAATTAAATATTTATTTTAATCAAATAAAATCAAGCATTATATAAAAAAATTACCACTAAATACTTAATATAAAAAACTTTGCTTTAATTAATTGAAATATATAATTTTCCTTTGGGCTTAGTCCCTTTATTCATCAGGAGTCGCCAGAGCAGAATAAACCCCCAACTTGTCCATCATATGTTTTACACAGCAGAAACCCTTCCAGCTGCAACTCAGTACTGGGAAACACCCAAACACCCTCTTTCTCTCTCTCACACACACACACACACACACACACTATGGCCAATTTAGCTTACCCAATTCACCTATAGCGCATGTGTTTAGACTGTCGGGGAAACTGGAGCACCCAGAGGAAACCCACGCCAACATGGAGAGAACATGCAAACTCCAAACTGGAATGCCAACTGAAACAGCCGGGGCTCGAACCAGCGACTTTCTTGCTATGAGGTGACAGTGCTAACCACTGAGCCACCGTGCCACCTTATTATAAAGCTATAATATATTATTCACTGTCATAATTATATTTTTCTTTATAATTATGGAATAAAACAATATTACACATGCATTATATCATAATATTGACATAAAACAATATACTGTAATATTAAATATGTATTATGAAAATGGCAAAAAGGAAACTGTTTATTTTAAATATATTAAACACAATGGCAAAAAAAAAAATTCCCCAGTGGCTGAAAGGGCGTCCGCTGTGCAAAATGTGCTGGATAAGTTGCCGGTTCATTCCGCTGTGGCGACCCCAGATTAATAAAAGGACTAAGGGACATCAAATGTAGAAAATGTAAAGTGAATCTTATGAATTATATTAAAACATTCATATTTTATCAATTTCATTTTTATTTGTCAAATACCAAGTACGATATGCAGTGAAATGCTTATGCAACCACCCGTGACCTATAAAGAACAAAAATAACATCAATAAGAATCTAAATTAAAGACTATAATCAGAAGTGAACACAAAGAAAATGTTGTATATAGTAAAAGAAGATATAAAAAAATAACACATATAAAAAATATAAAGTTTATAATCAATAAATGTGTTTGGATATCAATAAATAAATTGATTTCAAGGATTTAAAACTTGACTCAAACTTAGTTATTGACTGAGATGCTAAAAGAACAAACACATTAAATAAAAGTGTGTGTTCATCTGTTGAACTCATCTGTACAGAATCATATCAGCTGTTTTGCTGTCTGAGAAGGCGAGACGCCACACCAAACCTTCATAAAGACACGCGTGTGTGTGTGTGTGTGTGTGTGTGTGTGTGTGTGTGTGTGTGTGTGTGTGTGTGTGTGTGTGTGTGTGTGTGTGTGTGTATGAGATATGATCAGCATTGCGCTCTGAATGTGTGTTTTCATCGGCGTGGTTTAGATTCATATCTCTGACAGCAAAGACGATTACGCAAACTAGAAGGTTTTTCCCAGCCAAATTCGAGGAATGCACACGTTTTGCATAAAAATACAACACAGCCTTAGATAACATGCTGACAACTGCAACACAATGGTCATGTGACCTCAGATGTAAATGAAACCAGAGATCAAAGTGACTTTTTTATTCAATCAATCAATCAATCAATCAATCAATCAACCTAGTATATTTATATTGTACCAAAACATTTTTATAATTTATATTTTAATTTTAAGAGTCAACATGTTGGTACATTGACACATTAAATTGTGTTTTTGTATAATTTCAATTGAAACAGATTAAAGTTCTCTTAAAGTGCAAAATCAGCTTGACTGTTCTTGTTCTACTGTTTTATTGTAAATGCAATAGGATGAGGATTTTATATTGAAAGATAAGCATGAATTCTGAAGTGTGTGTGTGTATGTGTTTGTTTGCAGGTGTGTGGGGAGAAAAACAGATTCGAGAAACTGATGGAGTATTTCAGAAATGAAGAAAGCAACATTGATTTCATGGTGAGGACAGAGAGTTATTGCATTTTGTCATTAAAATCACTGTATGGGGTCACACACACACACACACACACACACACACACACACACACACACACACACACACACACACACACACACACACACACACACGCTTACACACACACACACACACTTCCTGACAAAAGTCTTGTCGTCGATCCCAGTTGTAAGAGCAGCAAATAATAACTTGACTTCTAGTTGATCATTTGAAAAAGTGGCAGAAGGTAGATTCAAATTCTGGTTTGTTCTGTAGACAATAGAAAAAATATTGCTAATATTACTAATATAATAATAGTGTAATTTTATTATATTTACCTTAATATAGTTTTAAAAAATTAAAAAAACTGCTTTTATTCTAGACAAAATAAAACAATTAAGATTTTCTACAGAAGAAAAAATATTACAGGAAATACTGTGAAAAATTATTTGCTCTGTTAAACATCATTAAGGAAATATAAAAAAGAGAGAGCAAAACAAAAAATAAAAAATCACTGGAGGTCTAATAATTTTGACTTTATATCGACTGTATATAAAAAAAGCTCAGATGCAAAAGCCACTAAATGGCATTTCCGCCAAAAATGAGATAATGACATTAAGTGAATGCATTAGGCACGTAGTACATCATCAACAAATAGATTTGCTTCAAATCATCCAAATCGCAGCATCAGCACATTCGGAAATAACGGTTTGTTGGCAAAAGCTGCTATATACCGAGAACCAATCAGAAAGCGCGAATCGAATCATATGTGTTCAATGTGACAGCACGCTGATACGCCGGCTTTATGAGGAGACTTTAATTCCGCTTTCGATTTTAAAAGACGGAGTTTGATGAACTGCATGAGCCTGTCTGACTGTCAGTGGATGGCAAATGAAAACATCCCTTACCTCAAAACTGAGAAAAAGAAAACACAATGTACAGTCAGAAGTGTAGCATGCATTCATAATGTTTGTTTGTGCAGCGGCGCTACTTTGAATGAGTCCGATTTACTAGCTACATTAAACAGCAACTCCATTTTACGAAATACGAAGTTAAGATGCCGTTCTTTCATCCTACATGGATGCTATAAGGATAAACAAGAGACGAAAAAAAGACCAAGATCTTGAGTATAGTAAGGATGAATAAATGACAGCTTCTGAGAGACTTCCTCTTTTTTTGCACAGTAGGCCCACCTTGTGTTTTATTTGCTAATGCAAGCTATGTTTTCAAGGATAAATATAGTGTATAAAACTAAATATTATTTATATTACTTCAATAAATTATTATTTTTTATTAATGCACATCAATGCACAGATATTGATGTTTCACAATGTTTTTACACTACATTATTTGTATAATATAAACTCTGGTTTATCAGGGACTACCACAGCAGAATGAACTGCCACTTACTTGACAGATCGTCACCTTGGAATTATAAGGTTCTAACCGCGTTCTGAATGATTTAGCTTTAAAGTGTTTGCATTCTACTGTATAGCAAACAGTTTGTGTGTAACATTTGTTTTTTAAATAAAAAGTCTTAAAATGTAAACAACTAATAAAAAAACATCCCATAATGTAAATAAGTTGTCATTTAATAAGAATATGTCAATAACTCACTTTTGACAAAAATGTCAGATAGAACCTTTTGATTCTAAGGTGACGAGATGTATTTTTAATTTTAAGTGGTTTGTGTAATGTGTTTGATGTTTGGTAAAATTATTTACTGCATCTTTATAATTACTGTATAAAGTTATATATAATTATAACTGCATCTTTAGAGATTTTCAACTAATTACACAGTCTTGTCCCATTAGGTGGATTTAGAGGTTTTTGCATAAAAAGCAGACGTGGATTTAGCTGGTTTTGACGGCAAATTTTTTTTTTACCTTAACAAAAAATTGTCTAAAGTGACATTTTTGGAAAAAAGCTATTTTATTTACTAGCTAATAACCTTATCATTACATATTAAATGAAACTTCTGAACCTATTTATAGGAGCCTGAAAATGCTCATTTACAAGAAAAGAGGTCTGATGGAATAAGAGCAGGGATTCTCAACCGGTGGGGCACGGCCAACTAGTGGGCCTCAGCGATCCTGCAGGTGGGCCGCAAGATAGCTTAAAATGAACTCTTAAAATTAAGGATGTCACGAGATCTCGTGAGATTAAATCGGTAAAATTAGGGTAAAAAGTTGTCTCGTGAGTTGAGATGTTAGCACGATGGATCGTGAAGGTGAAATTAGCATTGAAGATTGGAAGCTGGGTTGAATTTGAACCGCAAATCAAGTGCTTTACATACACCTGGTAAAGCTGGCCTCTGTGATGCACATCACTTGGTTGAGCGGGCGGGTGCGACGGAGTGAGATGTGCAGAAAGCCGCATTATTAAAGCGCAGTCAGATATGCAAACGCAATTAAACTATTACCATCATGTAGGACTTCTAGCCGCGTTTTGCGACTGGACAGTCCAGACAGCTGTCTGACACTATATTGAAAAAATGATCAAAGTAATGTTCTGTGATTGATTGTGAAATATATATATATATATGTATATATATATATATATATATATATATATATATATAGCTTTAATATATAATATACATTATATAGTTTTAGTTTTAAATATAATTAAATATAAGGCACAACAAAGGTATTACATATATATATATATATATATATATATATATATATATATATATATATATATATATATATATATATATATATATATATATATATATATATATATATATATATATATATATATATATTAATAAATGTTAATAAATAACAGTTTAAATGAACATTTCATACAAACATTTTAGAGAAAATGTCAGACAGGTGGGCCTTCAAAAATGCCCAGGTGGGCCCTGAAGTGGAAAAGGTTGACAACCCCTGATTTAGAGGGTTTTGAATCTGAACTCTTTATATGTTAAATCCACAATGCTAACAGTGTAGTTCATATGCAGTGCATTAGATTTCTCCTCATTGTTTACATTTTGACTTGTATGTCTCTCTTTTGCATCTATAGGTGGCTTGTATGCAGTTTATCAACATTGTGGTGCACTCAGTAGAGGACATGAACTTCAGGGTGTTTTTACAGTACGAGTTCACACAGCTCGGGCTCGACAGCTATCTAGAGGTGAGGAAACACAGACGTATTATAATGTTACAAAACAAACTTGAAATATTTCGATTATAAAAACAGCACATTAGAAAATCTCTGTCGGATTATGTGGAGTGATGCATGTCTGTTTTTAATAATCAGTGCAAGTTGTTTTCTCTCTGTGTGCTTTAGAAGTTAAATATGACTGAAAGCGAGAGGCTGCAGATTCAGATTCAGGCGTATCTAGATAATGTGTTTGATGTGGGAGCGATGCTCGAGGACGCAGAGGCCAAAAACACACTAATGGAGCATCTAGAGGAGCTGCAGGAACAAAACACACAGGTGCACACAGTAAAACAGATATACTGATGGAAATGTGTTCTGTAGAGCTGATAGACCTGTCAAACTGATAAACATGTCGAATAAATATGCAGTAATTTTTATTATTTTTATTGTGTGTATGATATATACAGTTGAAGTCAGAATTATTTGCCCCCATGTTTGTTTTTCCCCCAATTTCTGTTTAACGGAGAGAAGAGTTCTTATTCTGTAGATAGTCAACAATATATAGCTTAAAGGGCTAATAATATTGACCTTAAAATGGTTAATAAAAAATTAAAAACGGCTTTTATTCTAGCCGAATTAAAACAAATACGACTTTATCCAGAAGAAAAAATATTATCAGACATACTGTGAAAATATTCTTGCTCTGTTCAACATTATTTGAGAAGTACTTAAAAAATAAATAAAAAATTCTAAGGATGGCTAATAATTCTGACTGACTGTATGTGCTTTTTGATGTGATAATAATAGAGTAATGTACTATGAAATTGTATTGGTTAACATTAGTTTATGCACTTTCAGAAATAAAGGTTCAAATGTCTGTATATTGTATTTTATATTATTGTTTTATACATATTTATTCAATTCAAGTTTATTTGCAAAATGGTTTTCATAATAATTATTGTTTCAAAGCATCTTCACAAAAGGTCCATTTTATTGCAGTATATTCTAAAAAGTTAAGGTTATTAGTCACCATAACTTCATTGGTTACTGATAAATTTGATTAACCAGTAACTACCAGCTTATCTAACATCTTAACTAGTAATTAATATTTAACTAGTAACATATACTTTTACATTTTTGTAAATTTTTGACATCATTATTATTATATAATATTACTGACATTATTATATTCATACTAATATATTTCTATTATTTTTCTGTGTGTGTGTGTGTGTGTGTGTGTGTGTGTGTGTGTGTGTGTGTGTGTGTGTGTGTGTGTGTGTGTGTGTGTGTGTGTGTCAGCTGAACACTAGACTACACCAGTGTGAGATTGAAGCTTTGGAGAAAACGACTGACCTCGAACAACAACTCATTCAAAGCAGCAAACAGGTGGAGCTGCTCAAGGTAATACACACATATAAAAACACACACACACACACAGAAGTCAGAATTATTAGCCCCCCTTTTATTAATTTTTTTATTTGTTAAATATTTCCTAAATGATGTTTACCGAGCAAGGACATTTTTTACAGTATGTCTGATAATATTTTTTCTTCTGGAGAACGGTTTATTTGTTTGATTTCGGCTAGAATAAAAGCAGCTTTTTTTTAAAACACATTTTAAGGTCAAAATTATTAGCTACAGAACAAACCATCGTTATACAATAACTTGCCTAATTATCCTAACCTGCCTAGTTAACCTAGTTAACCTAGTTAAGCCTTTAAATGTCACTTTAAGCTGTATAGAAGTGTCTTGAATAATATCTAGTCAAATATTATTTACTGTCATCATGGCAAAGATCAAATAAATCAGTTATTAGAAATGAGTTATTAAAACTATTATGTTTAGAAATGTGTTGAAAAAATCTTCTCTCCGTTAAACAAATTGGGGGGAAAAATAAATGGGGGCGAATAATTCTGACTGTATATTTTTGATTCTTTATGTTATAGTCTCCACAATACATATACTTTAACAATGTTAAACTTGTCATTTTTGTCAAAAAGAAATATTATGTTGAAAAAAAGTGTATACAACTAGAGTTTTCCTGTTTTGTCACATTAAAGTATGTTGCTAAGAAGTAATTACATTTAATTTCAAGCAAAAAAATCCATTGGCCCAACCAGGCCATTAGAAATAATCATTAGTGTTCAGTCCCTTAAGTCTAAAACTTCATTTATGACACCCCATTCACACGGGGCGTCAGCGTCAACGCTTCCCATTCAGTTTGAATGGGTGACGTCAGGTGTTGCCGAACTGCATTGTGGATCCGTCAGCACCACTTCAGTGGCATTGCTTACTGCAGAAGTTGGGACTTTCTCAAATCGCTTCATGCAAAATGCACCAGCTCAGACAGTGGCCTATTGCTGACTGAATTTCATTGGCTGACGCTGCTATGATGATCGCGTCAGCCCCATCTTTAGACACGCCCTCTGTCAAGCGTTGATGCTGAAGCCCCGTGTGAATGCACTGTAATTCTCTTAAAAGGGCCTTGAAAAGTCTTAAATTTGACTTGATGAAGCCTGCAGAAACCCTGCAAACACACACATGCAAACAAACATGCACAAAAAACGCACACACACACACACACACACACACACACACACACTTACGTTCACTGCAGCTCCAGCAGGTGAATGTGTGTTTGCTGTTTCAGGAGAGTGTGAAGGAGGTCAGACTCAGCTCCAGCAGCTTCAGCTCCAGCAGCAGAAGGACAGACAGACGCGCAGTGAGACCCAACAGCACACACACACAGACAGACAGCAGACGCAGATGCAGATGGAGAAGATGCTACAGCTGCTGGTGGAGCGAGGGCTGATCCGGATGGAGAGGTCTGCTTCAGGAGCTCTGGATCTACACATTATAGCAGCTGCCAACACAACAGGTGGAGAAATGACCAAATAACAAACATTGTAGGGCGGGGGGATAAGGAAAATATGCAATATCGATAATTATAGTTGAGGTCAGAATTATTAGCCCTCCTGCTTATTTTTTCCCCAGTTTCAGATTTTTTCAACACATTTATAACCATAATACTTTTAATAAATAATTTATAATAACTGATTTATTTTATCTTTGCCATGATGACAGTAATTATAATTTTACTAGATATCTTTCAAGACACTTCTCTACAGCTTAAAGTGACATTTAAAGGCTTAACTAGGTTAATTAGGCAGGTTAGGGTAATTAGGCAAGTTATTATAGAATGATGGTTTGTTCTGTAGACTATAGAAAAAAATATAGCTTAAAGGGGCTAGTAATTTTGTTCTTAAAATGGTGTTTAAAAAAATTAAAAACTGTTGTTTTTCTAGCCAAAATAAAACAAATAAGACTTTCACCAGAAGAATAAATATTATCAGACATACTGTGAAAATTTCCTTGCTCTGTTAAACATAATTTGGGAAATATTTAAAAAAGAAAAAAAATTACAAAGGGGGGCTAATAATTCTGACTTTAACTATTTTCCATATTTAACAATAGCGATATATATTTCAATATAAGTTGCTAATGGTTTGATATTTAAAAGAGTATCCCACTCTTTTAAATAAAATTAGAGGGTCCAATAACAACCTATTTTCAGTGGGTGGTCATTTTTGGAAATTCGGTGCATTTCTAATTTCAACACACTTTTAGATTCCCACAGTTGCATATTTCTGCAAAAAAGTCCAGAGCTTATCATGGTTATTGACATAAATTTTATTGTGATCCGATATAATATTGTTTATCAGCCCAGCCCTAAAACATAATAAAAAAATTCATTACTTTTTAAACTAAGTTCACAGTAAATTGCAATGAAATAATATCAAAATGTACTGGGTCCTGGAGCAAAACAAGTGTACATCCACTGCTGTGTATATTCTTTATACACATCATTAACAAATCATACTTAAAGTCTGCGTGAAATCTAAATTTACAATGTTTATTTAGCTAACTCACATTGTTATACTTAAGGTAAATAATTAATCAGTGCACATAAATCCACTGAAAAAAAAGTTTGTTCTGGTAATCTTCAATCAAAGTCTGAGCATTTGCTTCTACGTTTGGAGGGGCACTCCTTCTCTGATGACGTCAGTTTGATGATATTCTTAGCCCTGTTCCTCTTAACATTAGTTTGCTATGAGGAAATGATGCAAAAGAGAAAGCCCCGCCCTCTACTCAATATTCTGTTTCTGTTAGAAGCACATCAACATACTGAAATAAAAGTCTCAGCAACTTTCGATTCAAACAGACTTTATTTATGAAATTTCCTAGCAATGTATTATTTGCAGATTGCAAATAATTGTCTTTTTACATCCAAGATAAGTGCTCAAAAGAGACTTCACCTGTGCCACAGTCTCCACCCCCTCCTCCAGTCCCTGCCCCTCCACCACCTCCTCCTCCGCCCCCTCTGGCTTTAGCTCCGCCCACTTCACCTTTTATTGGCAGGACAGGAACCATAAAGACAGGTGAGAGAAATCATGACAGTCATCTGTGGTACAGAATGATGAGAATATGAAAGAAACTGTGTATTTCTCTCATGTGTGTGTGTGTGTGTAAGGTGTGAAAGGTAAGCAGCCAATCAAGACCAAGTATCGTATGCCACTGTTGAACTGGCAGGCTCTAATGGAGGAGCAGGTAGCAGGAACCGTCTTCACGGAGCTCGATGACCAGACAGTGCTTCAGGTCAGATTCTTTCAGCTACAACCCAGTACTAGGAAACATCCATACACACTCATTCACACACACACACACACACACACACACACACACACACACACACACACACACACACACACACACACACACACACACACACTATAATCAATTTAGTTCATCCAACTTACCTATATCGCATGTGTTTGGACTGTGGGGGAAACTGGAGTACCTGGAGGAAACCCACAACAACACGGGGAGAACATGCAGACTCCATACAGAAATGCCAACTGACCTAGCTGAGGCTCAAACCAACGACCAGCTACCCACTGTGCCACCGTGCCATCCCTATTAAAAAATATGAAGAAATAATTTGATGGCCCTGTTTTTACCATGTTTTTGTGGAGTTTGTTTGAATGCAGCTTGTTGTAAAGTGCTGAATTGTCACGTGTGTGTAGGAGCTGAACATGGATGTGTTCGAGGAGCTGTTCAAAACCAAAGCTCAGTCGGCTCCAGTGGATGTGGGCACTCTGAAGGTGAAGGTGGCTCAGAAAGCATCCAGTAAAATCTCACTACTGGAGCCCAACAGGGCCAAAAATCTGGCCATCACCCTGAGGAAAGCAGGAATGAGCACCGCACAAATCTGCACAGCCATACAGACGTATGTTTCACACACACACACACACAAACACACACACACACACACACACACACACACACACACACACACGGGTGGTGTAGAGGTAGAAACTACAGTACTAAAACAACGGTAACCTATGTAATGTCCCCACAATTCACAAAGAAACAAACCTGTGTGTGGCAGGTATAATCTGGAGCTGCTGAAGTCTGACTTTTTGGAGCTGCTGGAGCGTTTCGTGCCATCCGACTATGAGCTGAAGCTGATCCAGAATTACGAGCGCTCAGGACGCCCCCTGGTGGAGCTGTCGGAGGAGGACCGCTTCATGATGGCCTTCAGCAAAATCCCTCGCCTGACGCAGAGAATCAGCACACTCACATTCATGGGCAGCTTCAGCGAGAGCGTCCTCATCCTCAAACCTGTGAGAACACACACACACACACACACACACACAATGAAGACAGTAATGATATATACAGTATGTATA